GGCCGGTGAGCAGTTTGCCCGTGCGCCCACACTCTGCAGGCAGCTACTGGGTGACGGCTTCGGAGCCACTCTCCTCCCCTCCTCCCCACAAACACTTTCACTGAACTGAGAAAATTTCCTTTTATTCTTCCCTTCCTTGGATGCGCTGACACGTGTCTATATCTGAGCCTCCATCCCCTCTTGCTCATAGAATTCCAGTCCAGACCAGGGGAGTGGATTCTTCATGACTGGGAGGAAATGGATGAAAAGTGAGATTAAAGACACATAAAACAAAGGGGTTTAGAGCCTACAGGACGCCACGCAGTTGACACAAATACCAGGCCTCTATTGGAGGAATAGAAAGAGAAATGGGCCAAGAGTCTTTTCAGGCCTGGTGAAAGGGAAAAGAAAGTAAAACCAAACAGTCCTGGGGAAGAGGACTGTTGCTTCTCACATGTTTAGAAGGCTCTGGGGCTTCTTCTAAAAGCCCCTACCAGGACTTCCAGCTGTTGGTCCCCTGCCTCCTCCTGTTTCCGGGAAACACAGCAACAGCAGACCAAGGTGTCAAGTTCATGTCCGAGGCCTGGAAGTCCTGCCTTCTGCACTTTGCTCTGTGTTTTCAAGTGCAGGCAAGACCTGCTGTCGAAGTGTTTGTGAACAGCCAGTTCAAGAGTATTTAAGTTTGTTTTCTTGAGTGCTGATGTCCCGTGTACCTCCAGCACCACCAGGACTAGGACAGGGGCTTGAAGAGGGCCATTTGAGGGCCAGAAGCTGTCAGAGAACTAACTGAAGTGTGTCTTGATTCACTTTCAGAGACCCACTCACTGCACTCCAGTTCTATAATTGCCATACACATTAGGAGTAATTCTGTATCTTAAATCTAAACACGTTTGTGTTGGCAAGACATCACCTGAAATACAGGTGGGGCCCTATGCAGGTCGCTCACCCTGGCTCTGCACCATTGCAGTTGTTCCCTTTAACCTTGATTCTGCTCCTGGCTCCCAGTTTGCCTCCCAGTTCTGTAGTCTTCCCTGTTGTTGTTTTAGTCACTAAGTCAAGTCTGACTCTCTGTGACCCCATGGACTGTAGCCCACCAGGCTTCTCCGTTCTTGGGATTCTCCAGGCAAGGATACTGGAGTGGGTTGCCGTTTCCTTCTCCAGGGGATCTTTCCAACCCAGGAATCAAACCTGCATCTCCTGCACTAGCAGGCAGATTCCTTACCGCTGAGCCGACAGGGAAGCTGAGTCTTACCTACTCTCACTGATATGCCAATATTGTTCTCTAAGCTACTTCTTAATGCACCTAAGCCTTCCTCTAAAGCATCAGTGCAGAGAAGGGTAGCTGAGTGAAAACTGGTGAAAAGTCTACATTTTCCCCTTTTTAGTGGTGGTAAGAAATTTATTTCTAGTTAAACAAGCTGGGAAACGTAATTAAGCACATGGTTGATGGGGATAGCCAAGGATGCCTGCCAGAAAAACAATAGGTTCTTTAAAGGTGCCAAGGACTAATATGCATCTCCTGTTGGAAACTGTATACACTTCACAATTCAGAGCCTCTCGTGTGCTGCCTCGTACCTTCAATCAAATTATTATATTCCAGAAATATGCATAAGGGAAATGATTCTACACATTTTATGGTGGGTTGCTGCTTGTAGCAGTAATTGAAGTACCTTGCCACTTATGAAAGTACTAATTTTATTTGTTTTTATTGCTTTTCTAGATGCAATTATTTATTTAGTGTGCTTTGGCTTTATTAAATTATGTTTACTATAGGAACATCATAAAAATGTATGAAAACAACACATCAGCCAAGCCAGCCTGGTGACCTGTATTGAGAAAGCTAGTGTTATTTTTCATATCCAAACATAATGGAATAACTTAAGAATAAACAGATAATCTATGCTAGAAAACAATGCAGTTTCAGAGTAATGTAATAAAACACCTGGACAATACGATTTCATAAATCTTGGTTCTAAAACTTACATGAGTTGGGTTTTGTGTGCTTATTTGAGGACACATGACATTTCTAAATGGAATCATTATAATGTGAAATGTAATTAAACCAAAAGGCAAGAGGTAAATGGTATTTTTGTTGGCTGGTGAGATGTGGATGACTAAGAAGAACTGTAAAGATTTTTGGTATAAAAAGACAAGCAGGAGGCTCTGACCCATGTACCTGTTCTTAACACTGAAGTTTAAAGAGAGCCGGGTGACTATGAAGGTGGCTTGGTGGTGTCCCTCACCAGCAGGTACTGGCTGGAGGTCATTCTTTACATTCCCCTCCCTGCACCTTAGTATGATGCTTCATCTCAAAAGAAAAGAGGATTTTTGCTTTTGGCACATGTTTTAAGGAACTTAATGTGAATGTATACGATTTATTTGTCCTGAATTTTGGTGAGTTAATCAAGGTATAGCACTAAAAATAAAAAAAAATCTACGACAACACAACCAAAACCAAAAACCAAAACCAGAGCTGCTTAAATAAAAGTGAGGTGTCTTTTATAACTATAAATCAGTGACTAGCTTTTATTTTTCTAATTGTGAATTAAAATTAATTAATCTGCTGTTTAAATAATGTACCATCTACAAGAGTCGACAAATATGTACCCTAAAGGGTGAGTCTCTCTCCAACCACATAGTTTACTTCCCCAGAGGGAACCTTGAAGACCAAGTTCTTGATTTCCAGGTGAGTTCTAAGGGTTTTCTGAGCACATAAAATATATGCATGTGTATTTATTCCCATACACACATAGTTACACAAATGATAGTAAAACATGCAGTACCCATATGGCTTCATCATTCTTTTTAAAGACTGTGCCGAATATTTCATTAAGAATGCATCGGACTCCTATTGATGTCCACTGAAGTGTTTCCAGTTTTTTGCTTGTACCAATAACATTTCTACCAACAGTATACAAGAGGACTTGTTTCTTGCTGTTTCTTTTCGAAAACTTGTAGTTTGTCAGCCTGAAAGACAAGAACTGATGTCTAAGTGATTTTAAATCTTTCTTGTCTTATTTTGAGAGAGGTGAAGTCTCATTTAATATGTGAGAACTTGTGTATTTCCCTTCTTGTGAAGTCTTTGATCCTGTCTCTTGTTCTTTGCTTAATTTTCTAATGGACTGTTGGCCATTATTGTTATTCAATTGTAAGACCCTTTGATCTGCGTTGTGAATATTTTGCTCATTTTTTTCAACTGTCCTTTGACTTTATTTAGAGGATATTCTGCAATATATTGCATGAAAATCTGCATGTCATTTTTCTATTGCTCCTGGGTTTTGTAAGACTTTAAAACACATATTTTAAATTGGTGAGATTTTAAAAAATTATTTTTAAATAATTTAAATAATTGTTTAAATAATTGCTGAGATTATTTTTAAAAAATTTTCCCACACAGTCTTCTAGCACTTTTGAGTTTATTTTCCATGTTAAAATTTAAAATTAATGTGGCATTTATCTAATATAAAGAATGATGTGAACAATATGACTTTTTTCAATTGGCTACCCAAGTATGCCAACATCATTTATTGAAAAATAATATTTGGGCTAATTTATGCATGTTTTCATCAATCCCATTGATGTCTATTCATTTGTTGGTATCACAGAGCTTTAATTATAGTAGCTTTATATTTTTAATGTCACTGGAGTTGGATCACAAATTATTCTTTATTTTAATAATTTTCCTTAATTATGGTAAGAAAAAAATCTATGACTGTATTAAATTATCAAGAATTATTTTTAACAAAAATTTTAAATGCCTTTCCAGTATCTATAGAGATAACCATATGGTTTTTCTCTGTATTACTGTTGTGAATTATATTAATAATTTCTCTAGTACTGAACCATTTATTCCATTCATTTATTTATTCCATTTATTCTATTCCTAGAATAATATCAATTTGAGCATGATTATCTTCTAGTGTGCTTTTTTGTGCTGAATAAATCTGACTTATGCTAACTTACACACTAACAAATGAAATTGTTCTAAAGTATGTGAAGTTTTTCCTTTTTTGTAATGCTCTGAATCAGTTTAATTATATTGGGATTATCTGTTCCTCAAAGGAATTTCTTTTGGAAATTCTCTTATCAAACTGCCTGTGCCAGGTGCTTTTGACAATATTTTCTCTCTTCTTCCTTTCTTCTTCTGTTCCTTTCTTTCTTTTCTTTCCTTTGATGGAATTAGTACAGTCACATGCTACTGTTTATAATTTATATTTTTCTAGAATATTACTCACTTTATCTTGTATTTCAAGGTTTTTGCATTTCCCATTCCATTCATTTATGCTTTTTCCCTTCCTATCTTGATTAAGTTTTTGTTTGTTTCATTGGTGTTTTTTAAGCATAAACTTTTGGATATTTTTATTTATTCTCTGATTTTTCTATCTTCTGACTTTTATGTCCAGTGTTAATTTTTTTTCTTGGTTCTTCCTTCTGCTTTTGTTTATTTTGTTTTTTTTTTCTAACTTCTTAAATTGGATGTTTGAACCATTTCATCCATATTGTTTAATATAAATATTTAATGTTATGACTTTTCTCTGAGTACTACATTCTTAGGTTCCGGCGTGTAATATTTTCTTTGCCATTATTTTCATCATATGCTGAAATTTTAGTTTTATATAGATTGAGTCACTTAAAATTTCTAGGTGATAGCATTCTAGTTTTGTTGTTAATTTCTAGGACTTTTTGTTTCTGTCTCTGTTTTATTCTTTCCAGCAGAGACTGTTAGTTACATTATTTTTACTTTGGAATTAAAGTTTACTTTGTGGCCTCAAGTTTAATCCTTTTTGATAAGTGTTCTATGACAACTTAAGTCATATGGTGTTTCACTGCAGGACATAGTGTTCTATATAAGATGACAGGATGTAGCTTTAGGTTATTTAAGTTTTACATATGCCTTAAAATTTTTTTTCACTTATTTCCCTTTGAATCCCCAAAGCGCTATGAAAATACAAGCCTGATGAATGGATGTGTGATGCTGAACTCCCTGTGGTCGGCTCCAATTGTGTTGTTTTGTCTTCTAGCCAAAGATTGCCGAGGAGAACTTGACCTACGCTGAGCTGGAGCTGATCAAGCCCCACCAGGCAGCCAAGGGCATCCCCACCAGCACGGTCTATGCGCAGATCCTCTTCGAGGAGAACAAGCTGTAACCCTGCATCCTATTTAATATCTGCCACTCCAGTTATTTATGAAACTTTGGATACAAAGTCCTTATTTTTGTATTTTCACTCGTGCCTTCTGTGTGGTGGGAGCCCCTTTCCAACGGCATTTCAGATGCCTTCAGAGAGGTATGACACTCCTTTCTGCGAAGAGCAGGGGCCGCAGCCCTTTGGATAAATCTCCCAGGACAAGATTTTCTGGGTCTGAGCCCTGAAGGGTGAGGACTCTGATTCTGAGACCATTCAAGAGGATTTTCTGCTGAGCCAAACCCCTGTATGTTTTTTTTTTCTCTTCTTTATCTTTTTTTTTTAATCTGAATTGTAATCTTCTACCCTTCCTGTATCTGTGATATCAAGCTCATAGTATATAGCTAGAGGAAATACCATTATGGGCCCAAGTGTGAGATGGTAGAGATGTACTAATTGGTTTTCAAAGGATCAGATAACATTGCCAGGGCACCCAGAGCAGCATAAAGTGCTTATTGTAAGCAGTCATTCAAGATAGCATCTCTTGTTTTAAATAGATGCACTGACCCTGGTGACTCAAGGGCAGAGAGACAGATTGTGGGGCGGTCTGAGGTCTAAGCCAACAATGAACTGTCTGGATACCCCTGTGCCCATTTCCCCACCCATTATTGTTCACAGCCACAGGACAAGTAGAACAGTGTTCATTCTGAAGTGCTTCCACCTCTTTGGCAGGGGGGCTTATCCCTGCATAGAGACTATTCTCCCAGAAGTTCTTACTTACCCTTTTCCAAAAGGAGCAGGGTGGTGTGCTTTTGATTGACAGAATAGAGGAAGGGGGCCTCTTGGAAGTGTGCCAAGGTTACTAACTCTAATTGAACATCCGTTTGTGTAAGAGCAAAGTCTTTTGACTGCTTCCCCAATGGTAGGAGAGTAGGAAGTATAAGCCAAGCTGGAAAAACGTGTCCTGGATACCCCCCCACACCCTCCCCCCACACCAGCCCATTACAAAGTGCCTTGCTGACTCAACTTTGCATGTTAATTCGAATGGACTTGAGTGGGAGGGAGGCAGGGATGCCTGGCAAATAGATCTATGAGAAAGTTGCTCTGTGGACCTATATGACATCCATGACCTCATCATTCTGGAACAGGCCAAGCTATCAGCTGTGTTGTTAAGGACACTTGATGTGTGAGTGTGCTATGGGTGGGTTTTTACTGCACACTACAGAAATTGTTTGGCTTTGTAATGGACCATGTATATATGTTAAATTATATATTTTAAACACAATCTGAATGTGAGTTGTGCCCCTCTGTACAGCCATGTGAACTTGGTTAGGGTTCTTATCCTCTACTGGTCTCAGACTCTCTATTTATACAAAGGTGAGTTAACCTCTCATAGAATTCTTATAATGGGATAATGACTTGGAAGATTCCGGATGCTAGAAATTGCTACACAAGTACACTATGTTAACATGCATGCTAAAACTAGTCCATATTTTTAAAATGAAATGCCTTTACTATTTAAAGCTCTCATGTGTTAACTTTAAAAAGTAAATATTTGTCCATGAACTTAGCTCTATGGTAACTTTCCCAAAGACCTGTGATAGCTTATGAGTGCCTCTCGTGGTTTACTGGAAAGGGTCCAAGTCAGGAGCAGGTAATGATTTTCCAGAAGCGAAAATATCCTGACTTTACAAAAAGGAAGTCATTCTCCGCTGCCTGTGCTTGTATCTCATGCCCTCCTTCTTGCCAAGTTTCCAAGGTAGTGAGTAAGCGGTGCAATTTCTGAAGAAGCACTCACTAGAACTTTCCAGACAGGAAGACATCTTTTAGAACAGAACATACGGTTAGTACGTCTTTCATATCATCATTATCCTAGGCATCCTATCATGTTTTATCATGGCACTTCGGTAGGACATAGTTACATGGTGTTGTGCGAAAGGAAAGTGATTTCCTGATTTGTACAAGGAGCTATTAATATACAGGTGGGTGGGGCCCTGGGAGTACCAGGTGGGAGTGGAGAGTGGGGCATCTGAAGAGGTGATGGAGAGAGGGCGATGGAGAAGGAGGCCTCTGGGCCTCTGCAGAACTGAATCGAACTTCAGTCACCTGCAGACCCACCGTGTTAAATTCAGTGGGGGCTCTGTGTCATCACATATGGAAATGAATACATTCCACTGAGAAGAGCACAGGTTTTGAAGAGTCTCTGTAGGTTAAAATCCAACAAGTCATTGTTATAGATTCAATTCAGACTCTTGCTCCAAAACTCTGGTCATATTTGCATAAATCCACGCAGAGGTGTGTGAGGAAGGGATCCACTGACATGGGGTTTAAGAAGAGGCTTCAGGACCAATACCTCCTACTCAACATGCTTCCTAAGGGAATCATGGAAGCTCTTGGCAACATCTGAGCACAGCTTGCTCCGCTATTATCTAGGAGCAAGCTGTCCAAACTTTGCTCAGGACTGGGAGCAATGAATGATTTGTACCTAGTGCTTCTTTGGGATGATAAATCTTGATGTTATTTTCAGAATAAACTTAAAAATAAGTCTCCTTATTTGTTTTCTATCAAATACACCACTATGTATATATTGTCATTTCTAAAGATAAGGAATATATATCATTCAAATGGAAATGAGGAAAAGTTCTTCACTTTGTTTTTGTTGTAAAGCATCTGTGGGAACAACTATAGATAGTTTTCAACATGGACAACGGCTTATACATTTAAATGAAGGACGAAGAACCCATTGCTCAGAATGGAATGCAGTGGCTCTTGCATGCAGAGTGCACAGACTCTCAGATTTGGTGGGGATTTGGTTTTGGTCATGCATGGTGGAATCATCACAGGAAGCAAGGATGGGGAAGGGGTATCCCCAAATGAGACTGCCTTGCCAAGTCACAGCCCTGGACCCTGAACTAAAGCAGTTGTGATGGGAAGACAGGGCTGGGATTCCTTTTAGATCACATTTTCATTAAATCATCATGTCTCTGTTAACTCACAGGGCAGAGAAGAAAAAGCTAAGCCTAACCCTCCCTCTCATATTCATTGGTGTGAAATGACACTGGGCACTATATATTTTTTAGTACATAGTCATCAACCCACACATGGATGAGCCCAAAGACTCACTCAGGATAAAAACACTAAACCAGTTGATGCCTTTAAGGACTGCTCGTGGCTTAGTTCATCCCTCAGTTTCTGACATGCATGACTACAACCTAGGCTGGGCCAAGAATGGGACTCATGCTCCAGGCCACAAAAATGGGCCAAAGCATGCATGAGGCCTGGTCTGCGCTGATCAGAATTCTTAGGAGAAAGAAAGCATCTTAGAAAGCAGCTAAACCAGGAGGCCACCTGTCAGAACCACCTACAGTAACATCTGCCAAGGGGTGAAGCCTTGGTGAACAAAAAGATGCTGAGAAAGCAGTGGGGAAGACAGGGTCCTGGGAGCACAGACAGAATGCCAGCCTGCAGCCACTAAGATCCCCCAGGCTCTTCTTCTTCCTTTAGATCTTCTTTTGATTCAATAAACTAGCCCCTTCTCCTACTATCTAACTCCTGGTTTTGCTTAAGCTGGTCAGGTTGCAGTCAAGAGAATTCCAACTAAAACAGTATGCATCAAAGCTGCTTCCCAAACCAGGAAGCAAAAGAATTACGCTGAGGGCACCACCCAAGGAGCCCACTTCCCTCACATCCAGCATCCAGAATTTTAACCATGAGCTTGTGCCACAGTCTGCTTCTTACTCAGGAGGCCCCTCATAGGCCACTCACAGGCCCCTCACATGGAGAGGGACCAGCTGGCTTCAGGCCTGACGTGCTCCTAAGGGAGGGACTCTTGGGTTTAGAGTAGGGACTCTGGCAGTACTGAGCCACTCTGGCGGAAGCCGCTCTGGTAGAATTAGCACATGTGAGCACCCTGTCACATGGATGTTGGAGGGAGCCTTTTTGTGCTGGCTGGCTCTGAAGTTTAGGCTGGCTTCCACATGGAATATGCTGTCTTTCCAGTATCCCTGACCCAGCACACCCTGACCCAGTATCCTTGGTCAGGAGGAAGCCTGTTATAAGATAAGGCAGCCACGTCATGGGGACGTTGATGGTCCCCCTCACCCAGCATAACCCCGCAGCCCACCCCAAACATCAGACAGAAGCTATTCACTGGGTTGGGAAACAAAGAAGAATTTCATGTTTTAGAGGAAGGATCTGCCTTCAGCCTGGATGTGTGAAGCTCTGGGGAGTGTCCAGATGGATTGGATAGATTGGTGCCTGCATCACCTGGATCATGGTAAACAGTGGCTCGTGTTCAGGAAGCCTGGGAGGGGCCTGGGTGTCTGTGTTCCTAACAAGCTCCCAGGGGATGCCCATGCTTCTGGTTCCTGGGACTGTTGGGAAATGCAGATCTGGAACCCCTGGGGAGATGATGGGAGTGGCCTCAGAATATAAGTCATAACTGAAGTCCTAACAGTGAGCTAACTCCCCCAAGAGAGGCATTGCAGCCAGGCCTGAGCTTTCTCACCAGAAAGCAGGTGAGATGCCTGAAGGGTACCAGAGCAGAGCACACTTCCAGAGGAGTTAGAGGGGAGCCAGAGAAAGCTGGGTCTGGGAGTTTCTGGAAGGAGAATGGGCTCAGCAGTATGTACTCTGTGGTGGTCAAGTAGAATAGAGGTTAAACCTCTGCTCATTCTGAATTAATTGCTCATTTCACATTTTTATTTTTGGGCTTCCTTGGTGGCTCAGGCAGTAAAGAATCAGCCTGCGATGTGGGAGACATGGGTTCAATCCCTGGGTTGGGAAGATCTCCTGGAGAAGGAAATGGCAACTCACTCCAGTATTCTTGCCTGGGAAATCCCATGGACAGAGGAGCCTGGCAGGCCCCTGTCCATGGGGTCAAAAAGAGTCAGACATGACTAAGCAACTAACACTACACACTTTACATTTTTTTTAAGTTTATTAAAAGATTTATTTTGCTGGGATAAACAATTCCCTGAATGCACAAGCCTAACAGACTTTGGCACTGAGTGTGTCTGCCCTGCTCAGCTGATTTTCTCCAAAACCATCAGTTAGGTTCAACAGGGTGGAAGATTTGGAGCAGACTCTTAATTAATGCACAGGGTGGGGTTGGAGGGCAGCCACGGCAGCTTTCTGCTCCTTCTGTGGTCATTGATAAAAGATGACTTGCTGCCTGCTTTCTAGTAAGCACAGCTCCACTAGTTTCACACCGACTGAGTGTCTGATTGTTAAATGTTAATGTACTACATCCTATAGTTTAAATAGAATTAGAGATGTTTGCAGCTTTGGTTAAATGCACCTTGTTCTTCCACATTAAACTTTATTACAAATGTCCTCCATCAGCAAATAGGAGAAAAACTCATTAGGAGCTGGTCTGTGTGGAGGCCATGGTTGCTATTGGAAGAGCTGGCATCCTATTTCCATTTATTAAGGCTTTTTAACTGATGGGGTGTTGGGTGTGATTGTTCCTTGTTTAAGGGTACGATTAGAACTTCAAAAGTTAATGCAGAAGTTTGCACTGTGTGTCTGGGACACTGATGCTCTCTTTGGTTTTACTAAAGGGGTCCATGATCCTCTTTTAGAGACTCTGTACCAGGATCCTAGCTGCCAGATCTCCCAGAGCATCCTGATGAAGTTGGTCACTTTGCAGCTGGGGAAACTAAGGAGATAGGAAGGGGCCTGCTAGTTGGTGGGCAGAACCAGTTGGAAAAGAGCTCTTGACTCCCAACCCGGTGACCCCCATGCAGCCCAATTCAAAGCCCCAGACCCATGGGCTCTGGCTTCAAGAAGCCTACCTGGTCCCACTCTGGCCTGAGGGGCTGGTCTTGGCCTTGCTGAGGATAAGGACTGCCCAGCCTCACCTTGCAGAATCTCCCCTGTCCCTGTCCTTCCTCAGTCCCTCCTGTGAATTCCTGGTTCTCAGGGATCCCAGGGTCTAGGAGACTCATGGCTGCACGTGGCCCAGAGAGTGGCCCACTTGGAGTCATTTAAGATGTCTCTCTCTGCTCTGCTTCTCATCCTCCTACCTCTTCCGAATTCTGTTTCTGGTTCTTCGGGGAGTCTCCTTCACTAAGTATCCCTTTCTTGTTTAGTACCTTCAGCTGTCCCCTCAGTCTCCAGAGTGACACACGTATCTCAAGCTGGGTGGACCACCCCCCAAGCTATCTCTCCTGCTGCTTCCCCCCAACCCCCTCCCATCCCCCAAGTCAGGAGTCTCTGCTTCCTGCACTGCCCCTCTGGTCTCTCAGCCTCTGCCCACTGTCTTCAGCCCCATCCCTGACCTCAATTCTG